AAAGCTCATGTTTTGTTAGTCTATAAAGTGCTACCAGACCATTTGTTGTTTTTTTCTGTAACAGACTAACTCGGCTACCCGCTGACGCTCCAGTGTTTATAAGGGAGGCAAGTCTCTGTTTCATAACATTCCGGCCTTTCACTCACATATCGAGCAGCACAGAGATGACCCTGACTGCCAGTCTATTTTTATACCATGATGCCATCTTTAGAATAACATCCCAGGTCTTGACTATAAGATTATTTGAGGATTACTCCGAAATTCCTCTCCCATTTGCTCCAGCCTGTTTATAGCTGCACAATAATCCCTTTTTACAGCATTAAACCCCTAAAAATACATGTTTCTGTAAAAGCAACAGAATGAACCATGCAGTTCAGAAGAAGCTAGGCGATGAATGATGGAAACAAACATTTGTTCATTGGCTGTTATTGGTCAGTAACTTGAGGTCATGTAGGCTTTGACTGTGAGTACAATGTCGAAAGATTTCATGCTCTAGCCAGTAATGTTCATATTAAGAAACTGTGATGGGCACTTTTCAAATGTTTTAGAGTTTAGGTTTGGTATCCAAAGTATTTGAACCTCGTGAGATTGCAAAACTTGGCTAGGAACCTCCCCAGAACAGGCCTTTCTTATGAGATTTCCATCTCTTCTGCTTCTTGTCTTGGCTTGAAATGCCATGAGAATCATTTTTTTCATGGTGTATTTCAACTCTTGCTGGTTTCAAATCCTGGACTTTATTTCAAAACCTTTGGCAAGGTTCAGTCCAGTTCTGAAAAGCAGTTTCAGGGGGAGGTGGGCTTCTTGTTTTAATGACAGCTGGGCTAGTGCCACAAACTTGGGGTCCAGGCTTATATGCTATTTGAAATGCAGAAGGATTCAGATTAATGAGTTTAATTTGATCCCACCTCTATTTTAAAATACTTAAGACACTCTTATAAAATATTCATACGGCAGAACTGAACAAACGGCTGCATTTAATTAGTCTAATCAACTAAACTTGTTGCCTCTCTCCCTCTGTGTAAAGAAAGCGATGAAATGTCACTTACTGACCTGCAGTATACAATGATGCTTTGATGAATTAGAAAAACTGCAACACCACCTTCCCTACAATGTAATTTAGCTCTCATGCTGGACCGCTCATGTGTATTGTCAAATGCTATTTGTAGGTGGCATCTTTATAGGTGAAAGAGATTAATTAATGCCGGCAAGATTAGCAATTACGCCACTCCTAAATAGAAGGCCTGAAGGGCTAAACAGCAATAGTAATTATGGTTAGGGACTCCAGTTCCCGCTTTCCCAGAGAGTATCCTGACTGTGCTCTCATGTAGCCTCTAGTGAAGAGCTTGTGAAGCTTGCTCAGTTGGGGTCAACAGAGTCCCTTCAAGGTTGAGCCTCCGAGGATAGGTGTCCTAACACTTACTAGGTTAACAGTATTCCTACCTATCCTCAGAGCTTGTCTTTACTCCTCGGTGAATCGATGCTGCAACGATTGATCCACTGGCGGTTGATTTATCATGTCTGCTTAGGCATGATAAATCGACCTCCAAGCGCTCTCCTGTTGACTCCATCAGAACAAGAAAATTGACAGGAGAGCAGCCCCTTCTGGCCTTACCACATAGAAGACTCCCTGGGAGGCATGCCAACTTCAGCTATGCTATTTGTATAGCTGAAGTTGTATGCGTTAGATCAACAGGGCAGATTTAACGTAGACAAAACCTCAAATAATAGTAACAGTCTGTCCATAATCTAGCCACATTCTTTCTCCACTGACAGGCAGGCAGCTCTGGGATGGTTAGATGGGTGTCCAAAACACTGGTACAGTGACTAGACTAAAGGATGGCAGCACCGAGGACTGAAGTTGAAAAGCAATGGTATTGGGTGTGGCAAATTAAAGGGGTGACTAGACTAAAGGATGGCAGCACCGAGGCCTCAAGTTGAAAAGCAATAGTATTGGGTGTGGCAAATTAAAGGAAAAAAAGCGTGATGTGGAACCCTTAAGTTCCCCTGGGTGCATGGTTGTCTGTTCATTTACCTGGAGAAGTAGGATCTTTATCATGATCAGTGATCCTGCTAATGATGATGGTGATTAATAGCTTGACCCTGCAGCCTTTAAGTAAAACTAATGGGGCTAATTAAGTGAGTAATGATTACCTTAACGAAAGCGTTCCCGGATTAGCCCTGTTCTTGGTTTGCTTTATTTTTTTTAACCTTTACTTCCAGATATAGGCCCTGATCTGGAGGTGACATGGCTAATGGTATGTCACCCATGCGTACAGGTTTGGAATACATGATTGTTTTAGGAAATCTTTTTTTTTTAATTTTTGGGGGGAAGGTTCCCCTGAGCCTACAGGGATTTGGACCTCATGCCACTGCAAATTGCTCCTTCTCTGCATGACACAGATCTGTACAGGACTAATGTTCCCACCCTATAGAGAGAGCAATTTCATAGCTAGGCATGTGCGTTGCCTCTTGCCTTAGCTGCTTGAGAAAATCTGCAAACTGTTTTAAGGGGAGGAGTGAAACAGAATCTACACCCCTGGGGGTCACCCCTAGTGGGTCGACTGCCATCCTGCCGATTTGCTGTGAACACTCTGAATTCTTTCAGTGCCTGAAAATTTGCACAAAACACTCGTTTGAGGCAACTGCCGTTGTGTGGAAAATGTCAGGCCCAAAGTGTTCTTGATAGCAGAAAGGAAAAGCTGCTGTCTCAAGATTGTTCATTTCTCTCTGCTTCTGTGAAATCTTGGAAGCGCTCTGCCATTATCTGAACTGATACTAGCAATTTGACCTGCAAACAACCACATTCCTGTCCCTCCCTCCTTTCCTTTTACAGCTTTTGCTTTTGATCCATCGGAGATTAGGAGCAACCAAGGGTCTTGCCTCTGTGAGGCTGGGCACTTGCTATTGTGTTGATGGCTGTAATTTCTGTAACCCTACACACAAATTTTAATGCATTCAGAGTAAAGCAGAATAAAAATTAAGGGAACATTGTAGCTGGACAATTTTGCCTCGGTTTGTGAACCATCTGCACCTTTTCTTGAATTCATAATTCACAATGATTTGATTTGGGCAAATAATTCATGGCTTCAAGATGGCGTGAGAGCAGGTTTGTTGTGAGTACAGTCGGGACTTGATTTTCTGGTAGTGAGACACCAAAAGCCAGACTTGTAAAGAGATTGAGGTGCCTAAATATGCAGATTAGCCTCTACTAGATTTTACAAAGGCACCTGAGCTGATAAGATACCGAAAGTCAATGGAGATAAGCATCTAATGCACATAGACATTTTTGTAACTCTCACTAGAGGCCAATCTGCATCTTTTGGTGTCTAAATACCTTTGTGAATCTGGCCCCACGATGTGATGGTGGTTTGACTAGGAGTTTATTGAACAGAAAATGCTATTCCTATGTAGCTATTTTTACAGCTACTTTACTTTGAGCTCAATTCTCAGTTACATGGAGGGTACATCTACACCGCAGATTTATTTTGGAATAACATTCATTATTCTGAAATACCTTTCTGCGCTGGCTACATAAGAAGCTCGTGATTTTGAAATAAATTCGAATAATGAGCTTCTTACTCCGGCTTCCTGTAAACCGCGTTGTACAAGGATTAAGGAAGTCAGCAGAATAGCAATTTATTTCAAAATAAGTGCTTGTGTAGACCATGCCAAATTTCAAAATCAGCTATTTCGAAATAAGCCAGCTCAAATTGCGTAGCTTATTTTGAGGTACGCGCTACTGTGTAGATCAGTGGTCCTCAATGCGCCCGCCGGGGGATTTCTGTGCGCCCGCTGAAACATCTGGGCTGGCCACGCCCCCGGCGCACGGCACATGCATAGTGCCGGTTCCAGGCGCGGGACGCATGGGCGGCCCCTCCCCTGGGCGCACAGCACATGCGCAGGGCCGGCCCAGGGCACGTGAGTGGCCCCAGCCCCGGCCCCAGGGCACATGTGCGGTGCCGGCCTGGGGCGCGTGGCTCGTGGGCGGCCCCAGGCGCGTGGCCCATGTGTGGTGCCGGCCCGGGGTGCGTTGCCGGCCCCTGCCCCGGGCACGTGGCACATGCGCAGTGCTGACCCCGCCCCCGGGCGCCCGGCAGCCACTCAACGTTGGGGACCACTGGTGTAGATGTACCCTAAGGCTGCTTAATACCGCTCTGGCCATGTAAAGGAACTTTGGTAGGGACACAAATTACATTTACATTCACTCAAGGTTGCTTTACGTTGCCAGAACTAAGAGAAGCGACCCTTTAAATTCTTATTTTTTGCAAAATCTCGGAGACATTTTGTAAGGACCTGGTGGTGAGGTGTGGGTTCTCAGAAGCCATCAAGTGTCTCAGGGACACAGTCATGAAAGATAGGGGGCGCGGAATCAAACATTGTCAAAATCAAGGAGTTATAAGTGTACGAGAGATGGAAGAATACTGATTCCTTGGGTGCCTTTTCCAGCTCCTGCCCTATAAAATTCAGAATGTCTTATTGAAGTGCTGGACACCTGTAATTCCCATTCAAATCAACAGGTACCCAGTGCCTCACAGTAACCGGCCCTGCCATAACGGGCAAAAAAAAATTACGTTTCATGCCAAGGAAGCTGCATTATTACTTGGCGGGCTCAGAGAGTAATTACGTTATGAGCTGCTTATTTCGGCTATTGTGCAAATAATTCCTCCCATCTCTTCTTTCCTCTCCTGAATTGCTTATTTGTTTGAATAGCTAAGGTAATATATGACAGACTCCCAAATGCTTTTTTCAACACCTCTGCAAGGGAGGACTCACAGCTGCAACTCTTGTGATACATTCAAGGAAGATTTTGTGACTGTAGCAAGAAGCTGGAACAGGAAGTGTTGAGCTTTTAAACAGCTCCCCCTGGACCTTCCAGAGGGCACATCTACACTATCTGCCGGATCAACGGGCAGCAATTGATTCAGCAGCAGTTGATTTATCGTGTCTAATATAGGTGTGATAAATCAACTGCTGAGTGATCTCCCATTGACTTTGGTACGCCACCAGAATGAGAAGTGTAGGCGGAGTCAATGGGAGAGTGTTAAGTACTACCATGGTAAGTAGATCTAAGGACATCGACTTTATCTACGTTATTCACACAACTGAAGTTACATAACTTAGATCGATGGCCTGCAGTCGTGCCGACTAGGCCAGTGAATGAGAAATATGACTAAATAAAAATGCCTTCTGGAAACCCCGTCATACAGACACCTCGCCAACTGGCTACGAGTTTTGTTATAAGTGCACTAAGGCTCAGAAACTTTTTGAGTGAGTCTGGGATGACCAATGATTTCACATGTTTAATAAAGAAAAGAAAATGGAGGCAAGTTTCTGAAGTGAGGTGGAATTCACCCCCTTTCATCACGTTTTTTTCTTGAGATAGAATTTGCTAGACTCCAAAACACAAAGCGAAAAGAGGGGAGGGGAAGCCAAGCAGGCACCAAGTCAAGGGAATAGCCTTATCAAGCCCTGAAAACTGAACCTACTGAACCAGATGCCCAGCTGGTGTAGAGCAATGTAATTCCACTGCTCTGAAGTCATGGAACATCTCTAGCTGTGGCTCTCACCCAGCGTGTTGCATCAGCAGGAGTCTAGGAGTCATTGACTCTCTTAGGGCAAGGACTTTGAGCAGCAGAGGTGATCTGAGTTAGCACTTCCTGAATGTACCCATGCTGAAATCACCCCAGTAGATTTATAGTTTTCTCTTGCAAGCTGCATTAGGTGTTCTTGTCCTACTCCCCTCTCCATCCCCATAGAACATCAAAATCAGAACCACTGGAGCAGTGAAAAGAAGATACAGTGAAAATCATGGCCTTTAAACACCATAGAAATGACGTAACAATCATTTCAAAAGGCTGGATTTTTAGAGGAGCTTTGATGCCTGTTAAATAAATGGAACGGTTCCCACAGACTCCAGTGGAATTTGGGTCAAGTCCAGAACTCGGAGGGACTTCAGTTCTAAAAGCGTTGGCCCTCGCTGTTTTACGACGCGCCTTGCCTTTGATTCAGGTCACCCCCCTTACTACAGTCTCCATCCCTACTTCCCATTAGGAAGAGCAGCCTCCCATTAGCAGAACAATCCCAGCAGCGCAGAGTTGAAAAGTTGCATGTAAAGATGCCCTCCTCTTCCCCCAGAGTCCCTTTAGAGATCTTGATCCCTTAGACATCCTCCCCATTTTCACTGACGGAGATAGTGTGTATTTTAATGGTCGGCACATTATGGTTGTCCCGACCGACGCTCCCTGATGTGCCAGCACAACAGCATGTCCTCAGGAAACCTTTGCTCTTCACCTTGGCTCTGGTGCAGCTGGACTTGTCTTTAGAGATGGCACTTTTTGTCGCCATGCTTTGCACGGTGGAGAAAATCTTCCACTCGCAGACCCCTTCGGACTTGGAAATCCTATAGAAGGTTTCCCCCGACCCTACTGGGATACGGACAACATTCTTGGTGCTGTCCATGCTGTGGCTGGCAGGATGGTTGAGGTTGAAGCTAAGGGAGTGCTTGCTGGCGGCCTGCTTTTTGGAGAGGCACTGCGCTCGCAGGACATTTTGGAATGCTTTCTTAAACTCTTGACTCGAGCACGGGTAGATGATGGGGTTGATGCAGCTGTTCAAGTACCCAAGCCAAAACGTTATTTTAAAAACCGTTTTTGAGGGCTTGATTGCAGGAAAGAAAACACCTGGAAAGGAAAACACAGGGGACGTTAAAGACAAAACAGGTGAGAAATTGCGGGTAGATACCGGGTCAGAGGGATAACAATGAAAACTACACAACAAGTTCATGATGTTTGGAGGCTCTGGCAACAGACTCATCTGTCTGGGGGAAGAGAGGATTTCAGAAAGCCCGGTACTCTACAATTACTTAGACCAGTGAGGGGCAACCGAAGCTAGTGAGTGCACCACAGGAGTGGCCTCCTTCATCTCAGTGGGCTACAAGATGGTTGTAGCCAAGACAGTTCCATGGGACAGGGCAGTTTTGCTAGCTGCACTTGTGAGGTTGAATCATGGCAGCATTTTGATTGGATGCAGAGGGAGACCACGGCTCTCACAGTCAGTGTTGTAATAGAGATGTAGCCATGTTAGTCTAGTCTAGCTGAATCAAAAAAACAGAACTATGTGGCACTTTAAAGACTAACAAGATGGTTTATTAGGTGATGAGCTTTCGTGGGCCAGGCCCACTTCCTCAGCTCAAATTGTGGAAGAAAATAGGCATGACTATATATACCAAAGGGATACAATCAAAAAAAGTGAACACATATAAAAAGGACAAATCAAATTTCAGAACAGAGGGGGGATGAGGGGGTGGGGAGGTAAATGTCTGTGAGCTAATGATATTAGAGGTGATAATTGGGGAAGCTATCTTTGTAATTGGTAAGATAATTAGCGTCTTTGTTAAGACCCTGGCGTAAAGTGTCAAATTTAAGCATGAATGACAGTTCAGAGGTTTCTCTTTCAAGTCTGGTGTTAAAATGCCTTTGAAGGAATATGCAGGAAATCAAGTCGTTGAGACAATGCCCTTTCTGGTTGAAATGGCAAGAAACTGTTTTTTCTTTGTGATACTGTCTGATATCCGTTTTGTGGGCATTGATTCTTTGGCGAAGCATCTGAGACGTTTGTCCAATGTACCTAGCAGACGGACACTGTTGGCACATGATGACATAAATTATATTGCTGGATGAGCATGAACAGATTTCTTTGTCAAAGAAGAATTTGTGGATTAGTGGATAGGGTGCTTGTCTGGGGAGAAAAACATTGTGGGACTGAGTCCCACCTCCCCTGGGATGGGATGGGTCTGGGGAACAGCCAGGCACCCTAGGGGCAGGTAGGATAAAGGGCCTCCCTGTGGTATATATGGTCATGCCTATTTTCTTCCACAATTTGATCTGAGGAAGTGGGTCTGGCCCACGAAAGCTCATCACCTAATAAACCATCTTAGTCTTTAAAGTGCTACATAGTCCTGTCTTTTGTTACAGTCAGTGTTGTGTGCAATCACAACACACCTCACTTCATGTGCTCTTGCTTTATATGCGTATTACTCTAGTAATACCAGTCGGAAATGCCCCTCCCCGCCATGGGCGGAAACCAGTGGAATCTGGCGACTCTATGCATGGACAACACTAAACAAAATGTCTCATGGGCCCCACATAGCACCCCGATAGGCTGCCCATCACTAAGGTAGATGGTATGTGACAATTGTTACGGGGGGCAGGTTTAACCTAACTGCTCCCTTACCAATACAGCAGCCATTTCATATTTTCGGTTCCAGAGAGTCCACAGCTGGGTAAAAGTGGTGCCATGAAGTGACAAAGGGAAATTACTTCCTGCCAGGAGCTAAAGCCTCAGACTGCTCAGATAAACAAGGGGATAACTTAATGGGATTTGAAATAACCAGGGAAGCACAGTTATGGGATTGACCCCTTCCAGACAGGAATTTGCAAAGGGGATCCTAAAGGACTTGAATGCTTCACTCACTAGCCCGGCCTCTGCATTGTTCTGCTTCACGAGCCTAATCACAATTCATAAAAGCCAATGGAAAGGCTCTCAGTAACGGCAGTCATTGTTCTGCTTCACGAGCCTAATCACAATTCATAAAAGCCAACGGAAAGGCTCTCATTAATGGCAGCGAGCATGGATTGAGCAGTCGCTGTATAGATCAGAGTCATTTTCAAACCTCTTTACTGTCCAGCAGTCAGAGCACTCAGCGGCCGGTAACTGGAGTTGCTAGAGCTGTAAGAATGTTTCTCACTGAGCAAATTAAAAAGGGATGGGAAAGGTGGCTCTAAGCCAAAACGCTCTGCTCCTTTGTCAGCTGGAGACAGCTACAGGGACCACTGATGGTAAGTAGAAACAGCAGAACAGGTGTCATTTGTCAAAGGGATCGCCTGGCCAGTCTTCCCTTGCTTAATAGCAACGAGGACATGGATAGACGTGTGTACAAGACACAGGCTGACCTAAAATTTCCCTCCTTAGTTAGCACTCTGATACAAAAAAAAATTGTTCAATGAATGCATTGTTCTTTAAAACCATTTCCTCCTGCAAAAGAAAGTAGCGGGTGTTCGGGGTACCCTCTGTCCCCGCAGATTTACAAAATCACAGCACAGGCAGGTCATTTGTTTTTGACTAGTAGTACAGGGCAGTGTCTAGAGCCACAGAAATTGCATTGCCGGATCGGACTGCTTGTCCATCCAAGCCCGCATCTTGTCTCTGATCTTTGGAAGAAGGAATAAGAAACCCTGCAGCGGGATATCCCCAAAGGGAGCATTTCTTCCTAACGCCCATTGGCACATGTTTTCCATTTGTGGCACTGGAAGCAGGGCAGGGAGTGTCTTTATTTAGGTGCGGGAGAGGGCTAACCATGTATCATGTGTTAAATCATCATCATGATCCCGTTAGTACCACAAGCAGCAGAAGAAATGCCGTATGTTTCTTGCAGAGCAGCAGAAACTTCCTAACAGTATCGGGGAGGGGCACTGGCATCTGAAACAGGGCCCTATGCCCCAAAGCACCCCTTCCCCCTGAGGCCCAGCCCTTGTGACACCCCTCACCCCCACCTCCATGCCCCTGCCTCTCCCAAAACTGCATTCCCACGCCACCTCTTCAGTCGTCCATACGGCTGGTGGATAGAAGAAGGGCACAATAATCTCTGGCCTATTGTATCCCTTCTGGGATGCAGGAGAGTAGCCAAGTGGCCTTCTCAGGGCCTACTCACTACAGACAGATCCTTAGCCGGCGTGAATCGTTATTGCTCTATTGAACTCCATGACAGTTTACAGCCCTTTTGGTTTTGTGCAGAGCATTACTCGAGGCAGGTTTAGATGTAGGAAAAGTGTTGAACAAATCTCGCATTTGTCATCCATTGTAATGAACAGGGAGACTTACCCCTGCCTTTTTCCAGGCGGGAACCAGAACTGCTCACCCATGTGTCATAAACCCTGTACTGCAATCACTTTCCTTTTGCTTAAGTGCTGGGAGCTATGCATTCTCTCACAGCTGTTGCTATGGGGATCTGAATGGTCATGGAGGGAGGACAGTTGTTTAATCTCTAGGGGTACATCTATAGTGCACCCGTAGGTCGACATCAAGTAATGCAATTTGAGCTACGCAAATTGTGTATCTTATTTTGATCTAATTTCTAAATAGCGTATTTCAAAATTTGGCCCTTGTCTACACAGCTCCAGATTGTGAAATAAAGCGCTATTCCAACAAGTCCCTTGATGTTACAGGGATGCCGGAATAGCGTGCCCGTTATTTCAAAAATTATTTTGAAATAATGGGCATGCTTAAAGACGCGGAATAGCTATTTTGGGAGACTTCTGGTATCCCGAAATAGTGCCGCTGTCTAGACGTAGCCTAAATGACTACGGTGTCCTTGGCCTCTGTTTGTCAGAGGCTGGAGAGAGATGGCAGGAGACAAATCGCTTGATCATTGTCTTCGGTCCACCCTCTCTGGGGCACCTGGTGCTGGCCACTGTCGGCAGACAGGATACTGGGCTAGAAGGACCTTTGATCTGACCCAGTACGGCTGTTCTTATGTTCTTATGACCACGAAGTTATGCTATTTTCACTTCATTTCACTACATCCCTCCAAACTTGGATACGCCAGTCTTTGGAAGAAGCCAGTTTTCTTATTAAAGGATACGATGAACAACTATTCCAACCACACTGAACAGAAAATTCTTACTTCAGCTTTTCCATTTTTTTGAAGATTTTATCCCATGAGCAGAATAATTCACCTGAATTCCTACCAGAATTATTCAAATGGCCAGTAATTCAATTCTGGCTGACATCACCCCAACTCTTCTGCAAAAGTCACACTTTTAAAAAAGTTATTTGGTCAGCAGTAGCGCTGGGTACATTTTTTTTCAATGTTTTTGTTAAAATTAAAAAATGAAAATTAAATCTGATTAAAAAAAATCAGTGAAAAAGTGTATGAGTTTAGTGATATTTTTGAACTGCTTTTTGAACCAGCTCAACATAGAGTGGGGAGAGTGGGGAGAGGAGCCTAGCGGGGAGGCTGTGGCCCCCCCTCCAGACATCCCCTTGTCTGGCAAACTCCCTTGTTCAGGACCGATCAAATCTGAGGGTGCTGGACCAGGGTAGGGATGGCACCGGTTGGGGCTCTTGTACATTTCAAAGGAGAATGCGGAACTCCACATGCAGCCCGGGGCCGGAGGGAAGTCCCGCTGACTCCGGGCTGCACGGGGCCAGCTTTGAAATGTACAAGAGTCCCCAGCGGGGGCTCTTGTGCATTTCAAAGTGGAAGCGCCAGCATGGAGCCTGGGGCCAGCTGAGAGTCCCCTGCTGACCCCGGGTTCCATGCTGCGCTGCCGCTTTGAAATGCTGCACAGAGCCTGGGATCAACTGGATGTCCCCCGCTGACCTCAGGCTCCATGATGTGCTGCAGCTTTGAAATGCCATAGCATTTCAAAGGGGCAGTGCCATACAGCTGAGCCGGGGATCAGCTGTGCAGTGCTGCCAGTTTGAAGTACCCCATCTTCCCCACCCCTTTTTGCTGATAGAGGCAGCAAGGGGGAGGGGGAATTGACTAGTTGACTGATTATCCAATAAACATTTGCTTATAAGATAGTAGACTAGTCGACTGGTCCTTAACATCCTTAGACCAGGGAGGTCCACTCTGTAGTTCTTGAAAACCTTGAATGCTGGGGGGTTCCAAAACCTC